TGAAGGCCTGTCTGGCGTTTGGTTGTGCTGTCCCTGGCGTTGCCTATCGTGCCCCTTTCCCTGGCATCTTCGTAGGCCATCCTATGCGTGTCTGGTGCCGCTCGCTGGCTCTGGGCTGTTCCCGCCCGGCCGCTCCCTGCCTCCCTGTCCACGGCGGCGCGGAGTGAGTATGCAAAACCTGCATTACGTTGCACGAGCTTCAAAGTCTAGTGATTATTCAACTCCGGCCAAATTTGGCCTGGTAAACGCCAGATCGGTATCAAATAAGACTTTTATCCTTAAGGAATATTTTTTGTCACACTACTTGGACTTTCTCTGCTTAACTGAGACGTGGATAACTACTGGTGATTCCAGCGCCTTTGCAGAACTTTTGCCTTCGGACTGCTGCTATTTTAATGTCCCACGCAGATCTGGTCGAGGTGGAGGAGTAGCTACTATCTTCAGAGATCGCTACAAGTGCAAGCAGGTTTCATTGGAATTTTATTTTTCCAGTTTTGAACTGTTACTGTTTGAAATAGCCTGTTCTACCCCTGTATTGTGCACAATAATATACAGGGCCCCAAAATACAGTAAAGACTTTATAGAGGAATTTGCTGCATTTCTAACTGAAGTCATGATAAAATATGACTCCTTTCTTATTGTTGGGGATTTTAATATTCATGTGTGCTGTCCAGATAAGCCCATGGTTAAAGACTTTTTGAATCTTACTGATTCCTTTAATTTAGTTCGATGTGTGTCTGCACCCACGCAACAGTGTGGCCACACTCTCGATCTGGTTTTAGCCTACTCATTGCCTGTTTTTAATCTGAAAGTCTCCGATCCTGTTTTTTCTGATCATATGCCGGTTCTGTTTGACATCTCTTTATCTAGAAATGAATTCAGGGGGCTTGTCCCTGCAAAGACATCTCGTTTGTTAAATTCTTCCACGGCAGCACGGTTCTCCACCTACTATAATCAGTTCTCCATTCCTGAGGCACTCCAATACGTAGAGGAACTCAGTTTTTGGTTTCATACCACTTGTCAGACTGTCTTGGATATTGTTGCTCCTCTAAAAATTAAGCATCCTAAGACAAAGCTTAAACCCTGGTTGAACGATGAAACCCGTGCTGCGAGGCGTGAATGTCGTAGGGCTGAGCGGAGATGGAAAAAAGATAACTTACAGGTCTCTTTACAAAGTTTAAGAGAGTGCTGGGCCTTATATCAGCTTACAATAAAAGAAGCAAAGCGGAAACACTTTGCAAATATTATTATGGTGAATTATCAGAAACCACACATATTGTTTAAGTCAATTGAGACTATTTTAAGCCCTCCCTCTGCTCTTAGTTTTGAGCCTTCACTTGAAATGTGTGAAAGGTTTCTGCACTTCTTTATAAACAAGGTAGCCTCGGCTAGGGCGCAGATTATTTTGCCCACATCTGACCCCTCTGATCTTCCAGTTTGCTCAGCTGTCTTTCAACAGTTTGAGTCGGTTACTCTTGCTCAGCTACAGGAGGTGGTAGTTCATTTAAAGCCTGTAGGCTCACCTTATGATCCTATCCCTCCCCTTTTTCTGAAAGAAGTTTTTTCTACCATAGGTCCAACTATTTTAACCATTTTAAATAGCAGCCTTACTTCAGGTGTGGTTCCAAAGAATTTCAAAGATGCAATTGTGCAACCACTTCTTAAGAAACCTGGGCTAGATACAAACGCTGTTGAGAATTTTAGACCAATATCTAAGCTGCCCTTTTTATCTAAAGTCTTGGAAAAAAAATTCTATATGACCAATTGATCTCATACTTGAATGCACAAAATGTTCAGGAGATTTTTCAATCTGGTTTTAAAGCAATGCATAGCACTGAATCAGCACTTTTAAGAATTTTTAATGATATATTTTTATCATGTGATTCTGGTGAAAGTGTCATTCTTATTTTACTCGATTTAACTGCTGCATTTGACACTGTAGACCATGAAATTTTAATCTCACGTTTGGAGCAGTGTGTCGGTATAACAGGTGTGGCTCTGAAATGGTTCAGGTCTTACTTAACAAACTGAACCTTTTCAGTTCGCTTAGGAAACTGAGTCCTCCCGAGCTCCGTTGTCTCATGGAGTACCACAGGGTTCCATTCTGGGCCCTATCCTGTTGTCACTTTATTTACTTCCATTGGGCTCAATTTTTAGAAAACACAGACTCTCGTTTCACTGTTATGCAGATGACTGCCAGATTTATGTTCTTCTTAAAAAGAAAGATGGGTCGTCTGTAAATTGTTTACAAACATGTCTGGAGGACGTCAAGTCGTGGTTGGCGCTAAACTTTCTTTGTTTTAATGGTTCTAAAACTGAAGTAATGGTGTTCAGACCTGCCTCCACTGCTGTTCCGTGTGTTGATTTGCAATCCCTGAAATCATTCTGTAAACCAGAGATTGTTAATCTGGGTTTTAAAATGGATCCTGAGCTTAAGCTTGAAAGCCAGATTGGGTTGGTTGTAAGGTCTAGTTTCTTTCATCTGAGGCAACTGGCCAAAATTAAGCACTTTCTTACGAGACAGCAATTTGAAACAGTAATCCACGCTTTTGTAACCGTTCGGCTGGATTACTGTAATTCTCTTTATTTTGGGGTGAGTCGATCTTCTGTTTTTCGACTGCAGTTAGTCCAGAATGCTGCTGCACGCCTTTTAACTGGCACTCATAGATACGAGCATATCACCCCAGTTTTATATTCACTTCATTGGCTGCCCGTGCATTTTAGGATCCATTTTAAGATGCTTTTATTTGTTTTTAAATGTTTGTCCAATGCTGCCCCTGTGTACCTCTCTGAGCTTCTTCATCCATACATACCTTCCCGGTGCCTCAGGTCGGCAGACCAGCTCCTCCTGAGTGTGCCCAGGACTAATCGTAAGCTCAGAGGGGATCGGGCGTTTGCTGTGGCAGCACCAAAATTGTGGAATGAGTTGCCTTTACATGTTAGACAGGCACCTTCCTTATCTGTTTTTAAATCACGTCTTAAAACATATTTATTTACCTTGGCTTTTAGCACAGCAGGACTTGTTGATGTCTCTTAATACGTTTCTTATTAATTATATTACTTTTAATTTTAAGATATTTTATATGTAATTTAAACTGTTTCCTCTCTGTTTTATATTTGTAGCACTTTGGTCAACATAGTTGGATGTAAAGTGCGTTATAAATAAAGATGCTATGCTATGCTATGCTATGCTATATCTACACACTATATCTTGTTGATGCATGTTGGTCATGTATAAGACAACAGTCATGATCATTCCATGAAAGATTTGACTTTTTGTTTTGTTCACATATTTTTTCACTTTACTGTTTTGCCAAACAAAAATCTTTGAGAGATGTCGCAGTCACAAGGTTTGGTTCTATGTCTGCATCATTTACAGTTACAAAGTTAATTATCAAACTGCACAGATTGAGAAATCCATTAATTATAGTTTATAGTCTAACAAAAGGGGAGAAAACCTCAACAGAAAGCAAGATAACACCATCACCCTCTGGTATATAAGCCTGCCGTTTAGCTCATAAAACAAAGACCCAGAACTTCAACTCCCTAAATGTGATATTTGCAGCACATTTTGTTTCTTTTATCATTTTTAAGTATAGTGGATCCAATCCCTTGGTGTAATGCTGGTGTTTGAGCATCTGAAGAATCTGGATGCAAAGTTGAAGGTTCTTGCTGAATTTCTGGTTAGAAAAAAAAAATCAACTCCGATCAGTACTGGCTTTGTACAAAAAGATAGCAAATTTCTTTTTTGTGGGTGTGTCTTAATTACTCACAGCATTCATAAAGCCTGTTTACACGAGCAATGTCATTGGCACTCATTTGGAAAGCATTTCCAAAATTAAGATTAGGATTGGACTTGGCAACAATCGTTGGCTTCCTATTCTTGGAGAAGTGGAATCTAAAAGAACAAACAACAGCACACGAACACACATACGCTGTTATATTAAGAAAACAGAGGAGATAATGGGCCCATAAAGTATTTAACATTAAAAATCCATTCCCCACTGAGTGTGTGCATGTTTTTGTTAGTCTGGATTACATTTTCTTGCAGAAAATGCAAAACATGTAAGGGAATATAAAACCTTACAAAGTCCATATCTCACACAGCAACTCACCTGCCATAGTGCATGACAGAGTTGAAGTCATAGGGAGTCTGCAAATTGTTGGTCTGCACTTTCACAAAGTTGTGCTCTTTTCCTAAACAGAAATTTCCAGAAAATATTACATGTTTTTATATGCTTCCACTTCAAAATCCGTCTTCAGTCTCAGCTCTTTGAAGATGTATAGATCGAAATGCTAGCTAATCTCTTCTGTGGTCATTTGTTTGATAGTCTTGGGACTAAAGAAATACAAACAAAATCTTCTATGCAGTTCTCGCTTGAACTGCAGTGCACTGCTGTCAGACTCCATAATAAAGACTTTAACTGATCAAGCACACACATCCATACATATGCAATAATACTAAGTGCAATAATCCTTTCTGTCATCGTTGTATTTTTACTCAGTTGTATATAGTATTTGTATTTGTATTCTATTTTTATCTTATTGTATATTTATTTTATTTTATTCTACTGTATATAGTATTTTATTTTATTCTATTCTGTACAGTTGTGTACTGTATTTATTCTTATTGTATTCTAATTTTTGCCTCATAACTTTTGCACTGTCCACTTCCTGCTGTGACAAAACAAATTTCCCACGTGTGGGACTAATAAAGGTTATCTTATCTTATCTTATCTTTATGTGCTGAGTTTGGAAAAGCACAGATTACTTGTAATATGTACACTGCTGTGAAACAGGAGGATGTCCCATTGTGTACTAAGTTAACTGTAACCAACGTTTTGGGTAGTTCAGCTGACCTGGGATGATGTTCCCGGTAAGGATCCTCACATGCAGATCTCTGTCAGAGCGGACATGCTCGTGGTGGAAGCCCAGAGCATGAAGAACCTCATGTTGAACCGTCGACTGAAACAAGCAACCATTTCTCTGTAGGGAGATTGGCTGTCCTCCACTCTGACGGCCCAGGTATGAATAACACCTGATATACACAATGACATCACTTAAAAAATAGATGGACTATTCTATAGCCTAGCACTGTGCATCCTCCTCCTTCAGCTAGTCATGCTAAGGCTAAAGTACCAAAAAAAAGCAATGACAGTAATCATGTGACCGACTTTGACACTGTGGCTCTATAGACACTGCTTGAACCACACTTTAGCTTTTGTACTTTAATATCTTAAATAATATTTTAAAATAAAAAACACACATATCCATTATCAACTAAAGTAAATAAACAGATACTGGTCAAATCAACCTCAGAAGATTTTTAAACATCTGTCATCCCTTATTAATCATCTAATAACCCACCAGATTCATCTTCTCGCCTTACAAGGTGCCAGTCTCTACTTTTGGAACTAGTGGACCAAATAGTATGTGAAATAATTAAGAGCAGATGGTCTCAGGAGGGGAAAGCGGTGCTCTACCTGCACTGTGTATAGTGCTGGCGGAGCGCTGCTGACGTCGACTGAGAAAATTGTCAGGCGGTGGAAGGAATACTTCGAGGACCTCCTTAATCCCACTGACACATCTTCAGAGGAGGAAGCAGAGTCTGGGGATGAGGGGAATGACCCGCCAATTTCCGGGGGCGAGGTCACTGAGGCAGTTAAACAACTCCTTGGTGGCAGAGCCCCTGGTGTTGATGAGGTCCGCCCCGAGTTCCTGAAGGCTCTGGACGATGTAGGGCTGTCCTGGTTGACACGCCTCTGCAATGTTGCGTGGAGATCAGGGGCAGTACCCCTGGACTGGCAGACCGGGGTGGTGGTCCCCATCTTTAAGAAGGGGGACCGGAGGGTGTGTTCTAACTACAGGGGGATCACACTCCTCAGCCTCCCTGGGAAAGTCTATGCCAGGGTGCTGGAAAGGAGAGTTCATCCGCTAGTCGAACCTCGGATACAGGAGGAACAATGCGGTTTTCGTCCTGGTCGCAGAACACTGGACCAGCTCTTTATCCTCTCGAGGATACTTGAGGGTGCATGGGAGTTTGCCCAACCAGTCTACATGTGTTTTGTGGACTTGAAGAAGGCATTCGACCGTGTCCCTCGGGGTGTCCTGTGGGAGGTGTTGTTGGAGTATGGGGTGTCTGGCCCATTGCTACGGGCCATTCGATCCCCATACAACCGTTGCAAGAGCTTGGTTCGCATTGCTGGCAATAAGTCAGACTCGTTCCCGGTGGGACATGTCCTTCAATGCACATATTAAACAAATATGTAAGACTGCGTTCTTCCATTTGCGCAACATCTCTAAAGTTAGAAACATCCTGTCTCAGAGTGACGCTGAAAAACTAGTTCATGCATTTATTACTTCCAGGCTGGACGACTGTAATTCATTATTATCAGGATGTCCAAAAAACTCACTGAAAAGCCTTCAGCTAATCCAAAATGCTGCAGCAAGAGTCCTGACAGGGACTAGAAAGAGAGAGCATATTTCTCCTGTTTTGGCTTCCCTTCATTGGCTTCCTGTTAAATCCAGAATTGAATTCAAAATCCTGCTCCTCACATACAAGGTCTTAAATAATCAGGCCCCATCTTATCTTAATGACCTTGTAGTACCATATCACCCTATTAGAGCACTTCGCTCTCACTCTGCAGGCCTACTTGTTGTTCCTAGAGTATTTAAAAGTAGAATGGGAGGCAGAGCCTTCAGTTTTCAGGCCCCTCTTCTGTGGAACCAGCTTCCAGTTTGGATTCAGGAGACAGACACTATCTCTACTTTTAAGATTAGGCTTCAAACTTTTCTTTTTGCTAAAGCATATAGTTAGGGCTGGACCAGATGACCATGAATCCTCCCTCAGTTATGCTGCAATAGACGTAGACTGCCGGGGATTCCCATGATGCATTGAGTTTTTCCTTTCCAGTCACCTTTCTCACTCACTATGTATTAACAGACCTCTCTGCATTGAATCATATCTGTTATTAACCTCTGTCTCTCTTCCACAGCATGTATTTTATCCTGTCTTCCTTCTCTCACCCCAACCGGTCGCAGCAGATGTCCGCCCCTCCCTGAGCCTGGTTCTGCCGGAGGTTTCTTCCTGTTAAAAGGGAGTTTTTCCTTCCCACTGTTGCCAAAGTGCTTGCTCATAGGGGTCATATGATTGTTGGGTTTTTTTCTCTGTATCTATGAAGCGCCTTGAGGCGACTTATGTTGTGATTTGGCGCTATATAAATAAAATTGAATTGAATTGAATTGAATTGAATTGGGTGATGGGCTCCGCCAGGGCTGCCCTTTGTCTCCGGTTCTGTTCATAATTTTTATGGACAGGATTTCTAGGCGCAGCCAAGTGGCGGAGGGCTTTTGCTTTGGTGGCCTCAGAATCTCATCTCTGATTTTTGCAGATGATGTGGTTCTGTTGGCTTCATCGGGTGAGGGCCTCCAGCTCGCACAGGAACGCTTCGCAGCCGAGTGTGAAGCAGCGGGAATGAGGATCAGCACCTCCAAATCTGAGGCCATGGTTCTCAGCCGGAAAAGGGTGGAGTGCCCACTCCGGGTCGGGGATGAGTTCCTGCCCCAAGTGGAGGAGTTCAAGTATCTCGGGGTCTTGTTCGCGAGTGATGGAAGAAGGGAGCCGGAGATCGACAGACGGATTGGGGCTGCAGCTGCAGTAATGCAGACGCTGCACCGGTCCGTCGTGGTGAAGAGGGAGCTGAGTGTAAAAGCGAAGCTCTCAATTTACCGGTCGATCTACGTCCCTACCCTCACCTATGGCCACGAGCTGTGGGTAGTGACCGAAAGAACGAGATCGCGGATACAAGCGGCAGAAATGAGCTTCCTCCGAAGGGTGGCTGGCCTCTCCCTTAGAGATAGGGTGAGAAGTTCGGCCATCCGGGAGGGGCTCAGAGTAGAGCAGCTGCTGCTCCACATCGAAAGGAGCCAGCTGAGGTGGTTCGGGCATCTGACAAGGATGCCCCCTGGGCGCCTCCTGGGTGAGGTGTTCCAGGCATGTCCCACCGGGAGGAGGCCCCGGGGCAGACCCAGGACACGCTGGAGAGATTATATCTCTCGGCTGGCCTGGGAACGCCTTGGTGTTCCCCCGGATAAGCTGGAGGAGGTGGCTGGGGAGAGGGATGTCTGGGCCTCTTTGCTTAGGCTGCTGCCCCGGTGACCCGGCCTCGGATAAAGCGGATGAAGATGGATGGATGAATAAAATGCTCTTTACACTCCTATGCAACAGTATAAATTTCATCTAGTAGCAAACAAAAATAAAACTGGACATTTTACAGTACAAGGTCAATGCAGAATGGTCCTTCAAGAACCTGTTTTGATGACACATACAGAATATTTGTAATGCAATCATTTTCAGAATTGCATTTTTGAAGGGTTTTGAGGGTGTGGGTGTATCCGTCCTGTCCTGCCATATAAATACAAGTACAGTCTAAGTACAGCAAGTGCATTCTCACCCTTGTCCAGAGAAGAAGTGAATGAAATCTGTCTGGCTTGTATGCCAGACAAACCGGATGCAGGTGGGAGCATGGAAGGTGACTAGGGCACTGATGATGATGTTGCGCTCTTGGTTGCCTGCAGATTCAAATATGAGTCTGATGAGGAGCGTCTATGTATGTGTCTGTCTGTCTGTCTGTCTGTCTGTCTATCTATCTATCTATCTATCTATCTATCTATCTGTCTGTCTGTCTGTCTGTCTGTCTGTCTGTCTATCTATCTATCTATCTATCTATCTATCTACAGTTGTGGTCAAAAGTTTACATACACTTGTAAAGAATAGAATATAATGGCTCTACCGAGTGTCCCGTTATTTCTAAAACTCTGATTTTTTTTCTCTGATAGAGTGATTGGAACAGTCCAAAAAACGTTCATGAAGTTTGGTTCTTTAATGACTTTACTATGAGTTAACAGAAAAACGTGATCACATTTGCTGGGTCAAAATTATACATACAGCAACATGAATTAGCAATTTTGGTGACTTAGAAAGTTGTCAGTGAACTGAGCTTCATAGCATGGCCTCTTAACTTCTTGTGAGTGATTATGAGTGACTACAGCTGGTGACTTCTCTTAGGCCAGTTAAATAGGGCTCATTGGATAGAAACGCCCACAAACGCTACAATGGGAAAGTCAAAGGAGCTCAGCATGGATCTGAAAAAGCGAATTATTAACTTGAACAAGTCAGGAAAGTCACTTGGGGCCATTTCAAAGCAGCTGCATGTCCCAAGAGCAACAGTGTAAACAATTGTTTGTAAGTATAAAATGCATGACACTGTTTCGTCACTGCCAAGATCAGGAAGAAAACGCAAGCTATCACCTGCTGCTGAGAAAAAATTGGTCAGGAGGGTGAAGAGTCAACCAAGAATCACCAAAAAGCAGATCTGCCAAGAATTTGAAGCTGCTGAAACACAGGTGTCATTGTCTACAGTCAAACGTGTTTTGCATCTCAATGGACTGAGAGGCTGCCGTGCAAGAAGGAAGCCCTTGCTCCAAAAGCGGCACCTTAAGGCTCGACTGAAGTTTGCTGCTGATCACATGGACAAAGATAAGACCTTCTGGAGGAAAATTCTGTGGTCAGACGAAACAAAAATCGAGCTTTTTGGCCACAATGCCCAGCAATATGTTTGGAGGAGAAAAGGTGAGGCCTTCAACCCCAAGAACACCATGCCTACAATCAAGCATGGTGGTGGGAGTATTATGCTGTGGGGCTGTTTTGCTGCCAATGGAACTGGTGCTTTACAGAGAGTAAATGGGACAATGAAGAATTGTCACATTCTTCACATTCTTCAACATAAACTAAAATCATCAGCACGAAGGTTGGGTCTTGGGCACAGTTGGGTGTTCCAACAGGACAATGACCCCAAACAGACATCAAAAGTGGTAAAGGAATGGCTAAGTCAGGCTAGAATAAGGGTTTTAGAATGGCCTTCCAAAAGTCCTGACTTAAACCCCATTGAAAACATGTGGACAATGCTGAAGAAACAAGTCCATGTCAGAAAGCTATCAAATTTAACTGAACTGCACCAATTCTGTCAAGAGGAGTGGTCAAAGATTCAACCAGAAGCTTGCCAGAAGCTTGTAGATGGCTACCAAAAGCGCCTAATTGAAGTGAAAATGGCTAAAGGACATGTAACCAAATATTAGCACTGCTGTATGTATATTTTTGACCCAGCAGATGTGATCACTTTTTTCTGTTAACCCATAATAAAGTCATAAAAGAACCAAACTTCATGAATGTTTTTTGTGACAAAGAAGTATCTGTTCCAATCACTCTATCAGAGAAAAATCAGAGTTTTAGAAATAACAGGACACTCGGTAGAGCCATTATATTCTATTCTTTACAAGTGTATGTAAACCTTTGACCACAACTGTATCTATCTATCTGTCTGTCTGTCTGTCTGTCTGTCTGTCTGTGTGTCTTGAAATAGAAAAATTGAGAAAGTGACATTAAATGAAAACATAATTTGAAAATTGTGTGCATCTGTGTATGATATCAATTCAGCATACTTATACAAATATGACTTTTCAGTTTAAATGCTTTTTAGTTAATCCGACAATAAAACAGCATAGTTAACAAAGCAGTATTTTTGGAAACCACTTGAAATATATATTATATATATTTATATAATAATGGGTTTTATTTAACTATTTTTATTCATCTCTCCTTTTCACAAAGTCTGTGTTTAATGGTTAAAGTTTGTACTGCTTACTGTATTCAGTGCCAATGGAGACAGGTACATAGACAAAGGGTCCAGTTTTAGGCCACTTGCAGCCAATGGCTGTGCATGGAACAGCATTCCTGGTAGCAGTGGGCACAATGTCACCATGAACCAACACTTTTGCTGCAGAACAACAAACAGAGAGTGGTTAAATGCTCGATACTTAGGCTGCCATTTGCTCAGTTATATCAAAACAAAGAGGTAAATGCTTACAGCATTTACTTTATTTATCGCACAATTACAATGTTTGATAATAACACAAATAAAACAGCTGACTAAGACAAGCCAGTAAATGACCAAAAGGTTGATTGATCATTGTGTCTGTTGGGAGTCTATTGTATGTTAACATGTCAGTTCTCAGGGATCTTTCATTTTCATCCAGAATTTATATGTTAACTCATTCACTGCCAGCCATTGGCAGTGAATGAGTTAAACCCATTGACTCATTCACTGCAATTGACGGCTATAGACGTCAATGGCAGTGAATGAGTTAACAAAAAAGAGTTTTATTTTGTAAATCTTCACTTACTTGAGTTAGCATTGACTTTTTCAATGATCGCTGGGGCACCCAGAGACTCATCTGTGGATACAAGAGGAAACCAGCAGATTAACTTTGAGCTCTTATATTAAAAACACCTCAATATGCTGGAAGTATTTCATCACTGAACGCACCAGTTATATTTCTAATGACAGCAGCCCTCTGCAATAAAAAACAAGACATTTCCAACTTACTCTTAATCACATTTGAAATCACACTGACAAATGTTATTGTTGGCAAACAAAAACTATTATGTGAAAATACTTCAACTGCGTCACGCTTAAACGCTCATAACAAGCAGCCATGTCTGTTAAGCAGACACGGTTAGAATTACATGACTTTCACAGAACAGCCGGCAGTGTTGAACAACATTTAATGCCTTTGCTGGAAGAGTCAAGCTTACCAGACAAACCGCTGTCATTGACAGGCAGACGGAGAAGAAAAAGGCTGGAGTCATGATGTTGGTCCTCTGCAGTTAACCTACACTCACAATCTGAACAGCACTGTTTAAAAAAGAACTTCAATGAATGTAACTGCTGGAATAGAAATGCAAATAAGTGGGATACGGGCAGCCCAACAGCTGATTCTGTTCATCTGGATGTTAACTTTTCTCCCAATGAAAATGCTGAGCAGACAACATCCACATAAAGGGAATCAGATATCTGGGATTTCCCTACGTAGAGGATTCAGCATGCAAGGAGATGATATGAGGAGGCTTACCTGTTGTACCAGGTGTTTGCTGGATGCAGCAGGTGTTCGGCTGCTCCATCTTTATAGATAGCTCACACAGGGTGTGGCTGAGGTTTAGGGGCGGTCTTTTTAGTTATCAATCCATTAGTTTCTTATTGCTGATGCCAAAACACTAAAGCAGCAACAAATTTCCAGGAAGGAAACTGTTTCAGTCAGCCTCAAACATTTTTTGAGGCTGACTGAAACATTCAGAGCATTAAATAATTGCAATTAAAAGTTGCAAAGTACAAAGAAATTCTGATGGAAATAAAATTTCAATCAGACTGGAATGAAATTCTTTTAACAACATAATTACCTTTGGGCAAAATAGTCAATAAAAACAACATTTTATTTCCTCACATGTACTCAATTTGCACCTTTGCCTCAGTTTGTAAAACATATCATTGTTAGCTTAGAAAATAAAGTTCTTCCTTCTGAAATTCAGTCAAGTATCACATAAAATGCAAACACTGAATATGTGATCTGAATGAACAAAGATATGAAGTAAGGCGCTAGAGAAGGAAAACCAAACCAAACAATTCATCAGACCTTCTGGGATAAATGTGCTATAAATTAATTAATAATCATTTTAAAATCCTGTAACATTAGACAAATGGCAAACTATGCGTGATTTGTTGTGGGTTGCTGCGATGTCTTATATAATATTTAGAGTTTAATATTTTGTGTTGATCGAGGTATGAAAAATAGCTTTTTGGCTATTTTTAATCCTTTGGCTCCTGAGTAAGGAGAACTGTCTCTATCAAATCTCAGTAAGCAAGACACACATGAAAGAAGATTATATGAATAGATGAGAAATTTCAAGTGACAAAAGACTCAGTGCTATGTGAGACAAAGGGCTGGGATGGAAACCAGGAAACAGGTTTTTAAGATTAGTTTTTCTAAATAAAGCACCCTTGCGTGCAACCTGATCAAACCACAAGCTGTGCTTAAAATGTTTACATAAAAGATAAGATATAAATCAGTAAATGGAGAAACAGAGTTTAAATGTTCATTTTATTTCTTAAAAAACTATTTATTTAGTTATCTGTTCATTACAATTGATCCACTTTTTTCTTGGAATTCTTATTTTTACTTATACATAGAAAACAGTTGCAGGTGGATGATTCAGAAAATGAGGAAGTAAAGCTGTCAACAACAAAAGTAGGCTCACGTGTAAGAAGAAGAAAAAAAAACAGCTCTAAGCTGGCTCACCAGAGAATACAAATAACAATGGACAGCATATTTCAGTAAGGAGGTCTATTTTTGAATTCCTGATAGTCCCTGGGAATAGAAGCAAAGGCACGTGTTACCGTACCTGCTAGTCTGGTTCATGAACAGAAAGTTTCAGTTTGTGAAGTGTGATCTAAATAGGAGTGTTTACTGGAAGCTTTTGGCAGCACCACAGTCACACTGGCGTTGAGATAGGGACGTGCTATGCGATGTGCTATGAGGCCAGAGTGATACCCAATTCAACACTGTGCAGCAAATCACGAGCTTGTGATATCCCAATATGTAGAGCTGGTACACTTTACAAGTGTCAAAAACCTTTCCTTTCTTTCTTATTCTCGCCTCTGTCAGTGCGCCCCAGGGCAGCTGTGGCTACAATGTAGCTGCCAACACCAGTGTGTGAATGTGTGAATGACTGAATGTAGTGTGAAGCGCTTTGGGGTCCTTAGGGACTAGAAAAGCGCTATACAAATGCAGGCCATTTACCATTTACCATTCTTTTTCTTAGAAAGTGGAGTTCCAAAGATCACTCTTAAACTCAGAGACGGAGAAAAATAAATGCTAAAGATTTGAAAATCAAAACCATATGCAAAAGTCCAATTCGATCAGATTAGAAATACAAATTAACAAACTAATAGTGATTTAAGCTACATTAGCTAATGTTTTTGACGCTATTGGAAGAAAAAAAAATAAGCAGACACTTTATAAGTCACAGCAATGTAGACACGTTATGGCAACAGTTTGAACTTTTGACATATTTCATGAATTGTGTTTTAAATCTGTGTCACTGATTTGTGTCATGAAATTATGCCTCCATCTTTCTGTTGCAGCAAGAAAAGTCTTATTTACGCCAATAGTGGCAAACCACGCAACTGAAGCAGCAACACCTCTGTGTGAGCGCACTGTCACATCATAGTATTGTGGGACGCCACTTGGTGTTCGCTCGCTCTGTGGTAGAGTATCATTTCCTGTTCCTGCTCAAACACAGTGGTATTTCTGAGTAGCGTTGAATTCTCCCAATTCTTTGAATCTTTGGGCTGAAGGAGGGACAATACTCGGTGTATAAATGCTCAATCAACAATCATTTATTTCCATACAATTCAACAGTCAGAGCATTACAACGTCCGGACGGGAGAGATGCTACCAGAGGGTCAGGCACATGTCTCAAAATGGTGATGGGTTGCTCAGTTTTTTATAGTCTCTAGTGGCCCCCAGCTAGTCGTAAAAGCCAAAACATCACATTTTTTCTCTGTTACAGCGCCTAAGTTATGACCTCGGCAGTTGTTTCTCTGCTTTCTGTAAGGTGGGGGTGTGGAATGTGGTCTATCTATCTCCCCTGTCTTTAGACACAGAGTCTCCTGCTTACAACCTTCTCTTCATGATTCAACAATTAAGCATGTCAAGAAAACAGTGTAACACATTCCCAGCAGATCAAGGATACAGAGTGATGCACATTTATCTAATGAACTAATATGTGAATATGTTCTGTTAACTCAAAAGTATAATGAGAACTAAACTACATACAGCTCACACACTCTATATTAAAGGGTATAATGTGATCTACAGCAGTATTCTAATTCAACTACTTTGATTACATATATAAGGTAACATATAATAACAGAATAATCTAATAATTCCCCCTTTTGATCTCTGAAAGAGATCACTTACAACATGCACTCCAGGGTCGCAAGGTCCAAGTTTTCTTGATCCTGAGGCCCTCTGTCCCCCTTTAACGGGTGGACCATATGTGGGATGACCTCTGTGTTCACGCAGTTCAGATGCAAGCAAAGTTAGATTTACAACTATAACAGCAGTTACAGATGACACTCCCATCACTCCCCAATTCTCCCACAGCTTTATTTTGGTGCTCCAGTTTTCCACTCCCATTTTAATGCCACCTTATACCTTTCAAATGTACTTAGACTAGAACCTCTGTCTAAGGAGCTTTTAACCTTTATTTTTATTGCTGCAGCTACCAGTGTCTTCCAGTTGGGTGATTCTCAGCTTCTTTCTTCGACCTCCGGGGTTAGACCACCCTTTAGTCATTGCACAGTTCTGGGGATTATTCTGCCCCGATTTCAAACAAGGATCTGTGTGTTTTGGGTTCACCGGCGTGTCCCCCTTTTTGCCAAGAGCCTCTCGAACCTCGTTGGTCTGGTGTTCCTGGTTTTCGCCAACCCTTCATGGTTATTGCTGTGTTTGTGGGATCCATCTTCTCCAGGAGCCCAAACGTCATGACACTTGACCCCAGTTGCTGTCTCGGCTGTCCCTACATCTGTCTCTGCTGTGAAGGGTCCTTACATCTCCGGGTCCCCGTCTGGTGTCTGTTCCTTTCTCTGCAAGAGACAGAAAACCAAAACACCTCTCTCCCTAGGCTTGATAATCTAATATTGTTATCCATTGTTCTTCTAATGATTCAAATTTGGTTTAAAATATTATGTTCAGGACCTATTCTAATCATAATCTATGTGTGTGTAAAAGAAATCAAAAATTAGTGAACCCTTTCTAAGTCTAACACATTATAAGCTTAAGTTTTACCATAGCTAAATTATTAAACACAGAAATAACGTCATAAGATGTTCATAAAACCATTGTTTGATGTTCGGACTCAACTTCCCCCTTTTTGACACACTCCCATGTGTCAATTCATTGGAGCTAGACAATTAAAAGAGAAGGTTGGTGACATCATATCTCAGAAAGTATCAGAAATTCTTCTCTCGAGTACCGTTGCTCCAGCCTTGTCATCCCTGAGGATCTTCGATCCCGAAAATGTCCCTTCTCCTCATGTAATAAAGTCTGTCATCCTTCCATGCCCTGGTAACTGGTCCATCCAGAGCTGTAACATTTTGAAATGTACATACAACAAGCCAAACCACACCTTGGTCACACCAACCCTTTTCTGCCCTGAAGATGTCCAACACCATCTTAGTCTGGACCAGGGTTGTAATAGTTTTGCAATTTTCATCAGTTTTAATCAGTTTTTACCAATTGTTTGCTAGTTTCGTTTAGTTTTTATTTTCTGAAAATCCTTAGTTTCAATTTAGTTTTATTTGTGTTTTGCAAAAATTAAGTGTAACAAAATCCCAGTTCCATCATATCAGTCATGCTCTTCTGGTTATCCTTGGGTGTTGAGACTAATAACTATTAACTCTTGCCGCACCGTGTGGTCCTAATTTTGGTTGAAGTGAATTGATAACCTTTTGAAGGCGATTGTTTCACACCTTTATTTAGATGTCCCAGTCCTGTTGTCTCGGGATACATCACGCTGCCTTATCTGGGGTTAGCTGTTTTCTGGGGATGCGGGTTGAGTGGGTGAGCTCTTCAAGGAGGGGGAGTGTGCTCCCCTGATGAGGTCTTCTAGGTAAGCTAGGTTAGCCTTCTTGTGTGAGCTTTTCAAGTGCACTTTAAGGTTAGTGGGACTTTTAGTTTTATAAATATCCCTCATGTCCCCCTGATGACCCAGTATTTCATTTTTGCACACTGTAGTACACATTTTAGTTTTTGCTTGTAGCTCGCATACTCTACTTGCCACTCCTCTAATTCCTGATGTTTCTTAGAGAGGGCAACAGTACCTTTAAAATTATATCACATGTGTGGGGTGTGGCCTTGCCAATTGTTTTGCCCACCTTTTCAAAATGGCTGGCGTGCCCACAAGCACATTTCATGGAAAAAGAAAGGTAATCTTGATATTTACATTTAAAATGTTTTGTTAAACTCAGATTTTTATTTTATTCTTTTTGCAAGTACCCCTCCTCGGTGGCGAGAAACTGTTGGTGTGGTCAAGTGGGTGCTCTAGAAACAAACG